TTGAAGATACAATGTCACTGTGTTTTGATCTTTTCTTTGCTGATGTAGAAGTGGGTGACATGTTAACACTTGAATACACAGTTGAAGAAGAACAAGAAGTGGCAGCAGATGTTAATGATGATGATAATGTAGTTCATGAGAAGACAATCTAATTAGCAGTAGTATATAACATGTCAGGCATAGCTGATGTTGCTGTAGAACAAGTTGATGACGTAGCTAAAGTTACGGTTTCAGTTGAAGTTGTTATAGATGAGACCGGAGAAAGAGGCTGTTTATGTGGCGACTCTCGTTCTATATTATCAAAATCAAGGTCTGGTTCATGTAATGGTGAGAGAATAGGAGGCATTGACAGTAGGGAAGAAGTAGAGAATGGCGAGATTGATCTCCTCTTTGCTGGTGGGCTTTGGCTATCAACAGGTGGCTTTCCTCGACTTATCTCCACCTTGTTCACTGTTATACCATCCGGACCCACTGCCTTTAACATCTTCTCGACATCTGGAGATGACTTAACAGTTTCCCACTGTTTTGGAATGAATGATGGAGCTTCCCTGATGGCGGCCATGGTTCTCATCATTCGGTCTCGAACCCTATGCTCAACACTTTCCAGAGACAGTCGGTAGTGCTCGCCCTTTCCACCAAACACAACAAATATTGAAACAAAGGAACCTATCTCCAACGATTCAGCTGTTCACATTGCTGGTCTCGTAGGGGAATACGACCTTTCCCGGGCGTTACATGATCCATACTGTACAGTAGACAGAGGGCCGTGCCTGTCCCAACCATGTTGCCACTTATCAGATGAATAAGAGGGGCACTTCAACAGTAGCTCCTTCATTTCGTGTATGCCTGGAACTTCAGCAGGTGTCCCATTTACGCCTGTCCGGTATGCCCTAGGCTCTATTGCAGCGAAAAAAGTTTTCTTATCAGATGGAAAGTTAGGCCCATATTTCTTGGCTACAGAACGATACTTGCTATTAATGTGTGAACGTAGGTCTACTGGTCTTCTGAACGGTTGAAAACACCAGACACACATAACCTCCAGAAATCTGTGTGGTTTGTTTATTGATTGACATTATTGCTGTGTATATATGTTTTGTGGTATTTTTAGTTTCTTCTATTTGGCCATTTTCAACTTGGGTGGTTCCAGTATTCCTACTTGAATACTGTATAATCACCCTTAGGATATGTTGCCTGGTTTTGAAATTTGTCTTTTGACGTCTTATCTGTGATATGCAGGCATCATAACCTCAGATCCCCTTTCTAAATTCCATTTATTTAGTTCCGCCCATTGTTTTCTCGTTTAGGGCAAAAGCAATCTTTTACTTGGGGACTATACGCCGCTTTTCATGGAATGGCACTATTGTGTCACATTGAAAGTTACATGATAACCGTCGTATGAAAACATCTGCGGATGTTTCTAAATTCAAAATTTCACCATTTTCGTGTTAAATGTTGAATTCTGCTTAAGCCGGTGCTAGGGGCGTGGACGGTAACTTGCAATTTCCATTACCGTCCATAAACAGGCTCAATCAAACCGAGCCTGCAACATTTTACAGTTTTGCCGTGTTGGGCTTTTTTTAGGGATTCTGTTTTTCACTATTTTATTTTATTCATGTAATAAGTACGGAGTTGATCCTTGGTCTCAAAACCTTTACCACAGGACCAGCATTTGTGAACCATACTGAAAATACAGGTATACAACATCTTGTTAAGTTTTAGGCCATGATATTTTATACATGGATTCCCATTGCATAAGCCAGCCATTCCTCTGATACATGTTCTCGATTTATTACGGAATTTGAAACGGTACAGAATTTGATATGTCTAGGGTTATTTGCTTCCGAAGCATGCTGATTTGACGGACAAGTTGATACGCTTAAATGTAAACGTCATGTATATTTCTGTTGCTGTAACGAATGATGTTAAGGCTTGTATATATAGTCCAAGATTGATGGTTACCTCATCTACCCACCAATAACAACCGTGAGGTAAAAAATTCTCGGAAGCATTAATCACAACAAAATTACATAAAAATTGCAGACTAACAGTTAACAGTCTAAGTTTACAGTCTAACCTGTGCACAAGTCTGTGTCGTGTGGGGTTGCGTTCATTGAACGCCGCCTTTCCTTGTTGATATTGTTTATCATATTTTAGACAACCATGTATATACCACATATATATAAAGAACACAGAGCCCGCCTTGGGTCCTGTAATCATATATTCCCCAATATATGAACCAACATCATTCTTCTTACCTTCAAACACTCCTTAGTGAATGAACATAGGTTAGTTAAAACCATTTATTGCAATGTACATACAAGTTGAAAATAAAGAAACTAAAGCTTGCAACAGTAAATATCAATTATTCTTTGGTTTAAAGTCTTGGAACCACTTCGGTAGATTTGAACCTCGGTAAGGAAGAAGACGATGAATATGCACCACCTTTGGAACCATCTTCGGAGATGCACGGATCAGGTAAGTCAAATCATCAAGCTGCTTCAACACCAGATATGGACCCTTCCAATTATTAGTAATTTTATTGCACACGCCAATTTTCCTTACTGTATTATGTAACCACACTGGTTAATTTATTTCCAATTTTCTGGACTTTGCTTTTGAATCATAGTGTTTCTTTCTATATTTTGCTTGTTTCTTAAGATTCTCTCGGGCAATACTGTGACATCGACGAAGGTTATCTTGAAGATTCGCAACATATTTATCAACGTCCCTTTCGTCCTTGTCTGTATCAGGTCTTCCAATCACGGCTTGACTAGTTAGAGTTATATTGCGCCCTAGAACCATCATATTTGGGGTAATATTTGTATTGGAATGCTCAGTAGCCCTGTAAGCCATCATTCTTGAGGTAGGTGAACGTCCCAAAGTTTCTGATTTGATTGACAGTATGCTGCAAGCCTCCTCGTCAGACTTCTGTTCATTCTTTCAACCGTTCCATTGGATTGCGGCTTGTAACTTGTTGTCCTTGTCTTGTGTATTGCAAACAGCTCACACATTTCTTTTACCAGTTTAGACTTAAAGTTTCTTCCTTGGTCTGTGTGTATCTGCAAGGGTGTTCCAAATCTGCAAATGAAATTATTAACAAAAGCATCAGCTATAGTAGAGGCCTTTTGATCAGGAAGAGCTATAGATGCAGTCCACTTTGGAAACTCATCACATATAGTGTTAACATATTTATTACCCTTTAAAGACATGATAAATGGGCCCAATATATCCATTGATACCTTTTCAATAGGACCACCAATGTTACGTTGACCGAGGGGAGCTTTGTTAGATATACGATTCGGTTTACGAGCACTTTATATGTCACACCTTTCACAGTAATTCTTGATATCAGTTTTCATTTCTGGCCGCCAAAAGACATCTTGTTGTATCCTTTTCAGTGTAGGTTTCTGACCCAAATGAGCTGCTGTTGGAATGTCATGAAATAGATAAATACAGAATCCCTAAAGTCTCATAACTTCGTCTCTGTACTTTTTAGGAACTATCAGCTGAGTTGACCGCTTCTTGGCAGTTTCCATGTTACGGTATAACATACCGGAGTGAATTGACAGTCTGTCCCATTGTGCCCCATAATATATTTGTATGTGGTGATGCTTCTGATATTTCGCGCCATGTTGGTTTCGCTTGTTCCCTCTCGATAAGGTTGTAAATTATTCCGATGTCTCCATCATTCTTTTGTTCTTCTTTTATTGTCTCTGAATCCCATCCTTCTAACATTTCGGCCATATGTTTATTTTCTGTTTTTGATCTCGTTATCACCCTGACATTGTTATTGGATATTACTCTGTCATTTATTTCAAGATTGCATTGTTCAAGCTCTTCACTCTCATCAATATCTTCAGGTTTATCCCCATACCTTCTGCACACTTTGCATGGTACTCTTGTTTGGGCATCAGCATTAGTGTGTTTCCTTCCTTTTCCATGAACAACTGTAAGATCATAAACGCCTAGCTTTTGAATCCATCTAGCCATCTGTCCGGTTGGTATCTTTAAATTTTTCATTCAACTTACAGCTGAGTTTTCTGTTCGCATCAATACTTTCTGGCCATACAGATAAGTATGAAACTTTTTAAGTGCGACAATAACGGCCAATAATTCTTTTCTTGTCACGCAATATGTTCTTTCGTGAGAGTTTAGGCTTTTACTCATGTACGCGATCACTCCCTCTGTACCATTATAGTCTTGCGAAAGAATAGCACCTGAAGCAAAATCACTAGAGTCTGTTTCTAAAATAAAGGGTTGACCTAATTTTGGATAGGCTAGATCAGGAGATGTTGTTAGTGCAGTTTTAAGAATGTTAAAAGCATTTTCAGCTTCATCTGACCATTGAAACTTCACAGCTTTTTCGCAAAGTCTGTGCAAAGGTCTGGCAATGGATGAAATCATGAACAAAACGTCTATAATAGTAGCATAGACCAAGAAAACTTCTGACCTGCTTTTTACTTGATGGTCGACTCCATTCCTTGACCACTTTAACTTTATCAGGATCTGTCTCGACACCATCTTTGGAAACGACATGACCAAGGAACTAAACACTTTTTTGAAAAATACGCATTTAGATGGCTTCAGCTTCAAATTTGCTTTTTCAAGTCTTTGAAAAACATGTTCAAGTCTTTCTAGCTCTTCTTAAAATGTAAATGCCGGTACAATGAAATCGTCCATATAGACTTGACATTCTTCCCAATGAAGACCTTAAGTACATTTTTCCCACCCCATGAAAACCTTCAAATGTGGACGGAAAATTTTGCAAGCCCAAACGGCAAAAACCGGAACTAATAAACCCCCAAGGGGCCCCCAATTTAAAAAACGCTGTTTTTTGTATATCTTCAGGGGCTAATCCAACTTGCCAAAATCCACTATTAAAATCCATACACCTGTACCACTTGGAACCTGAAAGAACATCTAAACATTCATCGACACGAGGAATAGGATATTCATCCTTCACAGTAACATCATTGAGGCGTCTGTAATCAACACAAAATCTATCTTGTTGAACCATCTTTCTTTGTGACCAAAACTGTAGGGGACGACCAGTTACTTATCGAAGGCTCAATAACACTTTTACTTAGCATTTTATTTACTTCTTGCTTTTCTGTATCTCTTTCGCCCAAGGGTTGCCGTCTAGGTGGTTGAGGTATTGGTGCGGCTGAACCAGTATTAATTTTGTGTTGTTCTGATTTATTCATACCTAAGTCATCTGATGATTTAGCAAATATATGTTGGTATTGTTTTAGTAATTTAGATAGTTGGTCAGCTTGATCATCTGTTAGTTCAGTTTTACTTCTATCAAAAAGGTCCTGAAGATATGTAGATATTTCATTATTTTCATTTTCTGTGTGAGCACCTATGTTTATGTTTCTACTTGCAATTATAGCTGCATCTTTCACTTCGTAGTATGATTTGCATACTCCCACAGGAACATTCTTTGGTATTACTTTGTCCGAGTCACTGGTATTTACAATGAAAAAATAAGGTTCTTCAGTGTGAGGCTCTAAAACTTCTTCGACAGCTACCGTAGTCTTTCCGTATACTAGTGAATTTGATGTGCTTATGATTGCCAGATTAGCTGATGAACCAACATTTTCTATTTTCACAGATGTTTGTACGAAAGATGAAGCAGGTATCGTCACTTCATGGTATGTCAGGACACTACACCTGGCTTCAGCTTGCCCAAAAATCCAACAAGATATAGGTGTTTTATCAGTATATATGATAGGTTTTCTAAAATCTATATTTGATGCATTACAGAGAAGAAAGTCTTGACCAAGAATACCACCTGGAACAATATCACAAACAATAATAGATACCTCGAAGTTGCCATTCCCTAACTGAAGTGTAGTATTAACCATTCCAAAGATTTCTATGCCATGGCCGTTTGCACCTTGCATTGTATTATTAATATGACTAAGCTCTGGCCTGATCTCGTTGCTCTTATTCATTATCTCTCATGTACAGACTCAATCAAACCGAGTCTGCAATTCTTATGTAATTTTGTTGTGATTAATGCTTCCGAGGGATCACTTTGTTTCCAGAATTTTATAACATCACCTGGCCAAACATCACCCGCTAGCGTTTGGCCAATTAAACTAGCGGTTTGTAGTTTTCCGACTTTTGTCCCCGCCTTGGACAGTCCTTCGCATAGTGGTCCATACCGCTACATAAGAAACACCCCGTAAATTTTTGGTCATATCTACCACTTCTTTTTCTGTTGTCTTTTTCTGCTAAGCTTGCCTTCTCAATTTTTGTTTCCATTTTTTCAAGTCTGTTTAAGATGTTGTGCATTTGACTCATTAGTTCACATTCAACTAAAGTCTTGTTGTTTGTGGCTACATTTCCTGTTTCGATGCTTGCTATATTGCGTACAGTTGATCGCTTTCTATCGTCTGGTCCCAATATTGATTCGCATCTTTCCACAATCTCCTCGGCTTCTTCTATTGTGCTACAATTTCTATCCTTAAGTCTATGCTGATATTTTTATAAAGTTGGTGAATTGCAAGAGACTCTTGAGCTTCTGCTTAAAGATCAGGATACGCCCTTCGAGCTAGTAGTCTTAGATCATCACCATATGATGCTACCTATGTTACGTTTTCTAGTTTCAAATCATTTCGTTAAATACCTAGTCTGTTGCCTACTACTTCCAAATCTTTCGGACAATTTTGCTCCAGTATTGCATAAACTCTTTGCTCCTTTGGACGCAAACATAAATAAAATGTTCTTGCTGAACCTTTCAGACAAGAAGCTAGAGTAAGTTTCTTCTCTTCATTTGACCACCTACCCAGATCTGCACAATTAGAAAAATGAGAAAAATAACTTTCCCAGTCTTCGGTACCATCATAAATTGTTGGTTTTATAACAGTAAGAGTTGGTTTGTTTCTTTAATTACTTATATTGCTTTATCATTTGTGTCCAGCTCATAATTTCGGTTAGATATTTCCTCGGTGTTGTGACCCTCTATTTCTACTATCGCGGTTTACTTCAATTCGTTTACGATGTACCGGTCTTTCGTCAATGTCGTCTTCATCGGAATCAGAATATTGTTCAATTCATGTATTCTCAGGTTTACGGATATATCTTCGCCTTCCTCGTCTATTGTTCAGGCCATGGTATTGGTTTTCGTCATCACCAATTTCCTCATCGAAATTGACTCTTCGTCCAGATCTCCTAGTACTGTTTCTGGTTTCATTCGATATGTCTTCAGGATTATCTCCCTGCCCAGAGCTGCTATTTACATTATCATTATGCAGAAGAGTATTACAACGTTGTTAAATGTCCTTCGGTTCTTCGTCATCTTCGTCAGTGTCAGATGCTGATGGTAAAGTATAATATGCGACATGTTCGGCTTTTCCACTTTCATCATTATGTTCTGCCTCTATTGTTTCATCACAGCTATTCATTGTATTAAATTGTATTTCAGGATCAGAATCTGCCATGTTTCCACTTAAAAATAAAGAATAACATATAAAGATTAGTTGAGTTGTCTATGACAAGGTCCTTTGCCAAAAACTAAAAATAATACCACTGCATATGCCTTCTATTGTCTAGTTACTGTCTCAGCAAGTGATGTCACAATCATCTGAATATCTAAAAGTAAATGATTTAGTTTGTATAAAATGTGTCTGGAACCCGCCACTCTATCACCCTAAGATTCTACCATCTGACTCAGATATTTGTTTGCCAATGTGAGTTTTGTCTCTGGCCACCCTGAAAAAAAAGGAAAATCCCACTTCTGACACCAAATTGTAAAAAGGGCCTACCCCCTGGGTAGTTACCAAATCCCCTTTTTTTAAATTGGATACCGGGCCCCTGTATTAACTAGTAAGTGTAAAGGCAAAAATTTTTAAACCCCCTATTTTCAAAAACACTTACCCAAATACTGTTTTTTTTAAAATCAAAACATAGGGTTTCAACACATCCTTTTTGCCATCTTTTTAGTATAAGCCAAAAACATCATAAGAGGTAGGCTCAGATTTATAATAGAGGGAAAAATAGTCCATAAAGGAAACATTTGTAAATATCTGGTTTATCTTTTTCGGAAAATTTATATAACCAGGATTTATAAAAAACCTATTAAATTAGGAAAAAGTGTACAAATATGGGAAATCCTCATTGGGGACACAGGAAACTGGTACAAGACATCAGTAACTCGATTAACATGGTTACAAACGTCATTTAATAATGTGACATCATATATAACAAGTGCATCTCAATAAATATGTATATGATATCTGCTGACAATACTACTCTGTGACGTAGATCTATCGATATAAACGAATTAATATCAGCATTAACAATTCTTCTTCGATGGATTAAATACCGGCATTGACAATACTCGACAATAGAGGACCTAGGCTTATGCAATGGGATCTTCTTCGGTTATGAACATTTAGTTACAAATAAATGTAAAGTATGACAGGATGTTGGAAATTTCTAAGACAATGCATCTTTTAGGGTCTGCCATAACGTGATAATTCATATTAAGTTCAGCATCAAATAAATTTGTAATAGTCTTCTGTAAGTAAACTGCTGTAGGTTACGATAGTACTGGATAGCTTAACGCTCAGCAAATAAAGGTGCCATAACGTGATAATTCATATTAAGTTCAGCATCAAATAAATTTGTAATAGTCTTCTGTAAGTAAACTGCTGTAGGTTACGATAGTACTGGATAGCTTAACGCTCAGCAAATAAAGGTAAGTTATTATTTATCCAATATATAGTAGATACCTTATAAGTAAGCAAGTAAGTGGTTGCAGGAAATATATGTCAGACTTAATGTGACTTAAGGTTCAAAGAATTTAAGCTTTGTAGCTTTGGTACTTCTCAAGTTGTTACGGTTGAGAAGAAGATACCAAATGACGACAGTCACCCTTATTTATAAACTTTTGGGACGCTACAAAGAGTACTCCAGCCAATGAAAATCCCGGCTTAAGACTAGGTCCAGTGATCAGTTAACAATATAGCAATAACAATAAAAGTTCTAACAGACATAAGTAGCACATGTATGGCTTAAATGAAAAGCCAAATAAACATATCTGAAATAACATTTAAAAATACATATTAACAAAAAGCCGGTCCAAAATTCTCGAGCGTAGTAATATATGCAGACGTATTCCATTACGCCGATAAAATACAGTTCTCACTAATTAAAATATGATAATGACAGAAAATCATCCGGCTCAAATCAGGCTTACAATTATTTTTACAAAAATAAGAAATCCTGAAAGTTTAAATGTAAACAAATATACATTCATAAAAAGCAAGACTGAAATACAAAATAAGTAGTTCCAAAGTTCTGTGTCCGCTATATTTAAACATGGAAAATGACAGAAGAAACCACCGTCTGAATCGTCCAATAATGTCTGTAAATATTGTGATATATAATAGTAACTGTAAATGTTCTAAATTATTAGATATTCATCAGGAAATAAATTAGGGTCATTTGACCATTTTGTAGCGAGAGTTATCTATCCTAACGTGATACTATTCCTAAATGAGAACTGTCAACAATGCTGATTTTCAAGTTTTACGTTGTGTTTCGTGGAATACAGTCCATTTGTTAAAAAGGTAGCACTATTTAATACAATGTAATAATTGTTAATGCATTTTTAAGTGAAGGCCCTGTCACACCAGACTGCGCTTTCACTGCGTTTGCACGGCGTTGTAAAGTTTAACAAAAAATGTTATATTTTTGTTGACACAAAGACTTTATGGAGTCTTCACGGCGTCCCCACGGCGATCATGGCGATGTTACGGAGCTTTTACGGCGTTTTAATTGACGATTGTCGTCGTTCGGATCGCGCTTCTTCGACGTTCTTTGCGCTTTCACTGCGCATTTACGGCGGCCATACTGCGTTCTCGCGGCATTAACACTGCCCTGAAATCGTAAAGCTCTGTATAAGCGCCGTGTACACGCAGTATAAGCGCGGTAAAGACGCCGCACAAACTCCGTACAAGCGCCGTGGATAACCACCGCGTTCATTCGGCGTTCCTTTTGCGCTTTCACGTCGCTCCTGTTGCGTTGTAGGAGATGCTACGGAGTTGCTACGGCGTCCTATCTGCGATCCCACTGCGCTCATTTTAGAACGCCGAGTGACGGCGTTTGTTTTGAACATGCTCAAAATGCGCGCCGTCGGTCGGCGTTCTATGCGATGCCACAACGATGCTACGACGATGCTGCGGCGATGTTTGCGATCTTACTGCGCTCACCTCGGCGTTCTGAAGTTTCACTGGACGCCGTGAGAACGCCGTCCTAGTGTGACAGGGGTTTAAGAACAGTTCATGATTTATAGAATTATGCACATGTTGATAATCTGTCCATAATTTGTAAGGGAGGTATTCTATTACAATATATTTGTTTTTGTACTATAATCAAGAGATTTATTAGAAGCAAATCTGGATTAAAGCAAAACGCGATCTTTTGGAGTACAATTTTGCATATCTGTTTCTCAAAGGGATTTCAGTACATGGAAAAAAATAAATTAAGAGAATACTTACTTAAAGTGTGTATAAAGCTATATATGTGTTGCAGATAGGTTGATTACGAATATTTTCCAAAATACCTGAAAGAAAGAAATATAACTGTATAGTTCCTTAAAGACGAATGGCACGTTCACGATATCATTGTTAAATGATTAAAAACTTACTTGTACAAGCGAAATTATATTATGTTCTGCAACGCTTTACTCTATTTACACCCAATATGCATGTGTGTTAAATAACAGAGACATTCTATGTAACAACTTTGTCAAGAATCGGCCTATGAATTAAAGAAACATTGTCATTTTGCCTTTATAACTGTAATAAAAAATTGATAAGATTTAGCTTCATACATTTTAAAATGACCGTTTTAATCGACGACATTTGAGTTACGCCGTTAAGATTAAGTTTCTCTTTGTTGAATAGCTGGATAGCTGTCAATATCTTTATTGAGACTGCGGTAA